ATTTTTAAATTATATATACCTTAAAACCCTTAAATAAATAGTATAAAAATATAGTTTTTTTTTAATGGTTACCTATATCAAAACAACTTTAAATTTGAAATATATGATTTATATAAATGTAATAAATTCAACTATTATTTTCATAGAATATAAATTGTACAAAAAAAATTATATATAACTAATGTAAAAACTTATACAAGTTACATTAAAATAATTAATTAGATATGGACTATTTTTAATATTTTTTCTGACTTAAACCAAAGTTGTCATATCTTAAAAATTAATCACAAAAAGGGAAATGACTCCTTTGCCTAAGTCTTAAATGTTTTCTTTATATTTGAAATGGTTCAAATAATTCAAAAACTAGAAAAACAAAATTTTGTAGAAAATAAAAGTAATGTACCATATTTGAAAATTTTCAAAAGTTTAGGGGAGTGGCTACCCCCCCTTGTCTAACATTGACTTCGTCCCTAGTTAAGTTCTACGTATTTAATATTTGACAAAAACTTTGTATATTCACGAGAACCTATCATTCTACCTAAGTATGGGGACGAAGGCCATTTTCAGCCCTCCACTAAAAATCCTCATAGGGATCCCAATACCCACCATTAATAAGGATAAGGATGGGGGGATGGGGATGGGGATGGGGATGGAGAAAGGGTCCTTGCCACAGTGGAACCTATTACCATTCTTACATTTCCATTAGCCTCCATTAATCCCGTTAAAAATTATCCATTTTCTTTCTATTAATATTATTGAAAAATTCACAATATTACATATTCTTAGACCCCAACCATGGCTGAAATAAGCTCTGCCTCTCCTAATTCTTAAAAATTCATATATTGCAACCTACGTAGTGGAAACCCAAAATGAAAAATTAGGAAAAAAATAATTAAAAGGTTGTTGTCTTACAAATTTGGACTTAAATTTGGAAATGTTGATTTAGGCAAAAACCCTTCTTAAGCCCTCAAACTTACCCCAAAATAGCATTTAAGCCCTAAAACTAAAAATGACGCAACTAAGCCCTCCAATTCTACTAACAAGGCAAATAAGGCCTTCTCACAAATGGCCCAAACGGTTTATCTCATGGTGGACTAACTCTATTTCTTTTTTGGGTTTCCACTAGTTTACATAGATATATATGCTGACGTGGCACTATCCCATGTGCACGTATATGTTGACATAGATTTAAAAAAAAAAGGGGGCTAAATTCAAGTTCTAGTCTTTTCTTTTCTTTTCTTTTCTTTTCTTTTCTTTTCTTTTCAAACTCTAGATTCTTATCTTGTTTTTATTTGAGCAAAATTCATTTAGGTTCTATTCTCTTTATATATATATACATGGTTTAAACTTCAAGTTCTTGTCTTTGTTTTTATTTGAGTAAAATCTATTTAAGTTACTAATAAACTAATTTTACTCTAATAAAAGTATTAATTATTTCAAGTAATATAATAATGGAAATTAAGGATGTATTTAGGACTGCAATCGGGAGTTTTTTCTAGTAGTCGCAAAGTAATCAATACCATACTAGCATACATATCAATTTTGCTACTAAAACAGTACATACCAAATCCCAGAATTTTTCATATACAATTTTGGATTTATTGCATAAATATATATTTTTATAAATTATATATCAAATTTTAAAATAATTATAAGAGAAACTAATGTAATTGGGGACAAGATTTGGGAAAAGAAAAAATCCTTTCAAAAGCCTTACCAAACCTTTTAGAAGCTCAAACAAACCAAAAGAAAAAACTAAGCTACAAAACAAAGCAAAAGGATGCCACACTACATCATACACATAAAGAAAGCCTAAATGTCACCTTTTTAGTACACTTAATGGGAAAAGTCTCCTTATAGAAAAGGTCCATGACGGACTCAAAGGTTTTGACGAGAGCCGCATTAACAGAACTGGAGCTGGCTCTAACAGCGCGAATCCTCTAACAAGGGACGAAGTAGCAGCTGCTTCCGATTCCACCCAGGAATTACTCCAAGATCTAGGGCATGCGATTTGTGAAACAAGAAGAGAAAGCAACGGCTGGACCATCAGCGAAACTTCAAGGTTGAGGACCGGCTGGAAAATTGCAATATGAAATTGTAGAAATTGTAAGGGTTAATTAAGAAGCCCCTAGCCCATGAATCATTTTCCAAGTCCAAGATCTAGGGCGCATGATTCACGAAACAAGAAGAGAGAGCAACGGCTGCTCCAATGGCGAGGAGTCAAGGTCGAGGATGGCAACACTACAATATGAAATTGCAAGGTTAATTAAGAAGCCCACATCGTTTTGACTAGGGAATCCTTTTTTTCTTTTTTAATTTGGACATAGTGTTTGTATGGCCGAAATTTGGTGTACCGGTTGGTGCACCGAAATTTGACCAAATTATTCAAAGTTTAATCGAAACAAAATTCTATCTTATACTGTTTGGTCAACTTAAAAAAATGATATAGCCATTACAAAATGGTGTTGATAACATTGAGTAGTCGTACAATGCCTTCAGAAAAATGTGTGTTGGGTAATTTTTTTCCAAACTCCTTTTTCTAAAAACTGTTAAAGGTCACAATAAATTTACGATAGTTTTATATATAAATTCAAAAACCTTATCTTTTAGTTTTCTGACTATGGTTTTTACAGACAATAGCTAATATTTAATACAATTACAAAAATACCCATTAAAACACATTCTCATTAATTCAATTATATCATAATTTATAATATTTTATTTAAATTTAACCACTCATTTATTTGAAAATTTTATAAAAAGTTAAAAACTCATTCTCTCTTTATTACTCTTTATGAGTTACTCTCTCGTGAAATCAAAAAAATACTTATTATAAGAAACTTTAAAAACCTAAATTATTAAGAAATAGTAAATGTTATTTATTTTAGTAATTATATATCATATAATATTTTTTAAAAATTTTAATTAATAATTAATAAAATTTATCATATTTCATCCATAATATTTTTTTTAAAAAAATAACTAAATACAAAAATAACTTTCAATCACAATATAGTACGGCATAGTTCAATACAATCACAACTATAGCTACAGTCATAGCACTCACAGCAATTTCAAACGTAACTTAGATATTGTTTGATAAAAACTATAGACTAATTAGTTATCAAAATTAATTTAAATAATTAAAATTAAATTATTTAAATGAAGTAAGACTTAGGACAAAAATGAAAATTACTATCGCTGGATGTGCTTTTGGTGTATGCACTTTTAGTTATTTCACGCCAAGCTATTTTAGCAAGGCTTAATGCAAGTGCTGACACCACAAAATATGTGTAAATACCATACCCATATTGGGTTTCTAACTTCTTTTGCTATTTTTTTAATGGTAAAATAGCAGATTGGTCCTTTAGCTTTTTATACAATGAGCACTTTGATCCCTTTCTACATGGAGTGGTGCCACATCAACCTCTGTATCTACGTGGATTAGTGGAAGTCCCAAAAAGAAACGGAGTTAGTTCATCGTGAGATACACTGTTTGACCTATATGTGAAAAGGGTTTATTCGCATCATAAGTAGAGTTGGAAGGCTTATCTACTTTGTTTTTAGTTTAGGGACTTAAATACCATTTGGGATAAGTTTGAGGGCTTAAGAAGGGTTTTTGCTGTTGATTTATAAATATAGCTGTTGACTTTTTTGTCTTTTAATTTTTTAGAAGTATATAAAATATATTTCATATTTATTGTAATTAATATTTTATATATTTTTAAAATATTAAAAAGATATAAAAATTAAAAACTAGAGTAGCAATAAATGTTCTCGAAATGAAACTTTAATGCTGTAATGCTGTTAACTATTAGGCTTTGAATGCAGCCGCTGGAGGCCTAACTAGCTTCATCTCTGTTTTGTTATGTTTTTTCTCGTCCCTTTCAAGCCATTGTGTTTGATTGACTTTTGAGTTCTACCTATGATTCATTTAATGGCAAAGGACTCAATGGATGAGTTTCTGATCCTACTTGGCCATCATACCATATATCTATGAAAAATGGACTAATTGGTGCACGAGAATCACTTTAATAAGTGTTTTAGTAGCTCCAAATAATATAATAATGAAAAAAGTATTGAATTTATGAGAATTTAATTAATTAATTATCAAAAATAATTAATCTAGATTTATTTGAGCAATCAAAAATGAAAAAACTTTAATTAAAAATAATAAAAATAATAACAATTAAAATAAAACTAATCAAGATATAAGGTATTAAAGTATCGATTTTACCATAACTAATCAATGTAAATTTTGGATTAATATGTTTCTAAAACTAATTTGTTAAGTGTTATTATATGTGATAATGAATTGTCCGAAATTAATTAATTTTCTTAAGTCAAATTAATTCTTGACTTATTTGTTAAATTAGTTATATTTTTATATAATTTAAAACAAATTAGTAAGCATTGGATAATGTAGAAACCTCTAGTTTAAGAAAGGGGCCTCCAAACTTTCTTCTCTTCCT